TCGTTGATGAAGAAGAGATTCATGTTGAGAACATTCTATAAAATAGATACTTCCCTGCGCCTCAAGATTACAGTGGATTGTAGTATCCTATCTGTGATACAATATAGAGATGCGAATCTTCATGCGTTAAAAAAGAAAATGGAGATCAACGCATTTTAATAATGGAAAACCAGAAAAGTACCGAAAAGACTGTTTTGAGCCCTAGGAAAAAGATCAATGTTTTCATCATAAATTCTTTGCATTAAGACCTATCAATCTCGTGTTATTGCTTGTGATCAAAGTATATCGAGCTGTATTTCTAGTCAAAATATCAGACAAAGAATTGAAGTTTATGTACTTTTTATCCATTAGTAGAACTTCTTGCGACTACTGTATTTGAATAATAAGGATCTTAAAATTTTCATGAATTTCTATCGAAAAGTATATGAGAAATTTTATAAGACTCTTTTTTTTTTGCTTTAGTTCTTAATCATAAAAATAAGAATTCTTTTGCATTGTTATCCTCTTTAAAAAACTTTTCAATTAAATATCAAATTGTAGTTTCGAATTCCTTTTTTTTTGTATACATTGATTATCTTAGCACTGAATTGAATACATGTTACCATATAAACTAACGCGAGAAATTTTCAGGTACCTTCCCAATGATTTAAATGATATTTTGTCTATAGATACTGTTCAATGCTCTAGTAAAAATCCTTAAAGGATTTTGGTTCCTATCACTTTCTTCAAAAGTTAAGAATGTTTTAATTTTACTTCTATAGTATATAACATAAAGTGTGAGCCACAAATAGCGGCACTACGATAAAAAAATGAAAAATTTCCTCAATCAGTTCAATGAAATAGGCTGATTTTTTGGTTATTGTTAGAAGTTTATTCAAAGATCAAGTAAAAAAATACCTGTTTAACGTTTCATAGATAATATTGAGTTGTCATCTAAGAGAATAATAAGAACAAGTTACAATGAACTTTATTAATGATTCTATATTGATGTATGTAGAGCCAATTTTTTAAAACTAGTCAGTTTTAATCTTGAAATTCGTACTCTATAAATGAAATATACAATTGCAGCCCTTTGTGTATCAAAACACCAAGTTTCTTGCAAAAACCAGTATTCTTTGTTTGAAAATTCGAAATTTTGTAACCGTTAACTTTTAAGCTAACTAGTTTTGAAACTTTACTTTACGTACATCAATATAGAATCATTGATAAAGTTCATTGTAATTTGTTCTTATTATTCTTTTAGATGACAACTCAATATTACCTATGAAACACTAAACATGTGCTTTTGTTTTACTTGATAACAAGTAAAATGACTTTCATGATACTAACAATAATACTTAATAGTAGTATTTGGGTACCTTATCCGTATGAAAAAAAGCTTTGAATAAACTTCCAACAATAACTAAAAAATCAGTCCATTTGATTGAACTGATGAGGAAATTTTTCATTTTTTTATCGTAGTGCTACTATTTATGGCTCACGCTATATGTTATACAACATAGAAGCAAAATTAAAACGTTCTTAACTTTTGAAGAAAATGATAGGAATCCAAATCCTTTAAGAATTTTTACTAGAACATTGAACAGTATCTATAGGCAAAAAATTGTTGAAATCAAAGGGAGACACCTGAAAACGTTCTCTCGTAAGATTACGTTTAATCTCAAATCCGAGATTGAACACATTCAATGTCGGATCGAGTAGAGTGTATGAATTAAAACTTAACCCTTGAGTAACCGTTGACACATATATGCGTCATAAGTTTTATCATAACTTCCTACATTATCATTTTGTTACGGCTTGTTTTAGGCTCATGCATTAATAAATGACTATGTACGTGATGTAAAGCCACTCTATTTTATGTATGTGTATCTTTTGTTGGTAACCAAACAATTAAATTAATCTTTAGATCGACGCCGAATTTGGAACTCTTATTGATGATGAGCTCTAATGAAACAATAACATCTTAGGTCATACAATCCTCAAAGGATGAACTAAGTCAAGATTTGAATACTGATGAACAGTTTTCCATTGAAACAGTCTTTGTAGTTTAAAATTTTTCATGACTTTGCAGATTCACACTTACTTGATCAATTGATAATTGTATTTATTGAAATGCCATTACTCCATCGGAGTTCATCGATATGAATTCAAAACTCAACATTGATCTACAGACTAATTCAAGTTATTACACATATTCTTCACTTATTTGACATTGAATATTGACATATATAAATAAATTAAACATGTCCATATTAGATCAGTAGTTTCTTCAGATTATTTAAATTTGAAATCAATAGAGTACATACTATATGAAGGTAATGACATATAATGTCGATTACGATTTTTATTTGATAAACACATGTCGAAATGAACATTCATCAAAAATATTTTATTAGAAGATAGTTAATAATAATTTACTATCGTTTTAGAAGATATTTTTAATGAATTCATAAAATTTCAGTTAATTGTCATCTAAATAACATATTTTCGATGAGTTCATTTTAAGATGGCAAATTAATTATGTACATGTTTATCTTTCTTTCTCGTCTCATTTCATTTGTAAATGTAGATTCTATACTGCTCAAAAGCGGAGAAAATTTTGGTCTACCCCAACTTATCTTTAATTGGGAATTAAAATAGGTCGTCTCATTTTAATTATTTCTGAATTGGATCTATATTGATTTAAGTGGGTTCCAGATACAGCACTCGTATCTCGTCAGATGGCTATATTCAATTCAAATTCACGAGCTATTTTGCAATACAAACACCGATCGAATTTAAGCATCCCTCACATTCCTTCCTTTTTTTCAATTTAGATAATCTAAAAATAATCATTTTAAAAAAATTTTCATGAATCATTCAATGTCCGATGTTCCCGCGTTAAAAAAAAATCATTGGAAAAATTTTGATAATGTAAAATAATCACTTTTTTTGTATTCTATGAATCGTTCAATTTCTCAATGTCTCTGCATTGAAAAAAATGAGAACAATTAGAGAAATAGAACAAAGATTTTTTTTTTTCGTTTAAATTTCAACGATTATTTATCTTTAAAAAAAATGATTATTTGAACAATAGTTTGTTTACAACTACTTTTTTTTAATGTAATTTATATGAAAACTTATCTAAAATAGTAGACATTTACAACGGCAGTAAAGGCTGCGGCAATAAATCCCGTAATCCAAGTAGATGACTCTGTCTATCGACTTCCAATCTTAACCCTTTACCCTCGGCTGGGTCGTTTTCGACCCATTCGTACGATTTACATAATTTAGTAAAAAAACATCTGATTGAGAAGATTGTGGAATATTTGTATAGAGAATTGAATGAGCTATAAATGCGTAAAAAAAGAATTTCTCCTCAATCATTCTTTACTCGACTTATTTGAGTCAAAAAATTGTGAATTTTCGAAAATGTGAAAAAACCCGTTTTCTGAGTTTATTGCTTTTTCTTACTTACGTAGATTGAGTACTCAGACATTCTAATTGTTGATGTGTACTGCTACTACACTAACCTCTTTGAAAGAAAGATCAAATGGATTTGCTAATGATTCGAGAACGCACACCATCCTTCAAGTCAATTTGGGTCGTTTTCGACCCATTCGGGTCGAGTGACATAAAATTTTTATTTTTCTGAAATGACTTCCTCTCGTTAATATGATTGGATAATTAGGATATTTTCTTATTAACAACTTTTGTAGAGTTAAAAATAGTCAAATGACGGGAGAATTTGTCTTTTTTTGGATTGAGACATAGATAACGGGTGGACTAGAAGAAATTGCCGGCTTTTGATAGGCCGTTTTCTCAAGTTAGACTGGATGAGAAAGTTTCGTTCTGATGTCAAAAGATAGAGAATTTTGTGTAGATTTTATTGATATGTTCTTTGCGAAATAAATATTTGTCCTTCTCTTGTAGCATTAAAGGTATTCGATACCACAAAAACAGCATTTGCTCAACTGCAAAATGAGACACTTTTAAACTAAAATTTTTGCTCGGTTAATTATAGTTCAAAAATTTCTTCTTGTTACTAATCGATGCCGAATTTTTCGATGTATCTAGTGGTGTCTTCATTTTTTTAAGCTTAATTGTTTCTACTTCAAAAACCACAGAATATTAAGAAAATACCTTGGGTTAACAGAATCGTACTGTTCGTTGCCAATTTTCTCCGAACTCGGTTTTACAAAAACTACTCTTTTTATATCAAAAGATGTAGAATTTCAAGCTCTACAAAATGCTCTTCATTATTAAGAGCTGAATTCCTTTTCTA